AGTGAGTGCACGAGGTGGTTATAAAAGGCTCCCTTCCCCCCAAGAACAAGGTATGTGAACTTTGCGCCATCTGGTTTTATCTTGCCTCTGGGAGAATTCTAACTTGAGCTTCGGAGCATTCACACCGGGTTCCCCCCCGGAGCTTCCTCATCTTCTCCGTTTCAGGCTCCCTGTAGCTCCGCTCAGAGGCAAGGTCGTTGACAGCTAGGACCAACCGGATTGCGTACCATCAAGTCCCATTAGTATATTTTCTATAACAAGCAATAGAAGAGCACTAGTCGGAACCCGTGCGATGCACAAGATTTTTTAACTGAATTGCAAATTAAAGTTAATGGGCTTTTAAAGAGCCCTAGATACTTATAAACACCTTTCCACAAAATTTCATTACAGATATCTCCCATTTAACCCTTTATCACACTAAGATTTTAATTTGGGCTATCTCATTRGCCAAGATATTCATTTCTTAAATGCCCTTGAAAATTCCATTTATGGACCAATMAAACCCCACCAAATGATCCAAGAGACCAATACCTCTAGAAACCCTATTGTCAACACTTGGTTTTTGCTCAGTTCAATCAAACCCCACCAAATGATCCAAGAGACCAATACCTCTAGAAACCCTATTGTCAACACTTGATTTTTGCTCAGTTCACCGTTGAAACCCCAATTTACCCCAAACACTCGATCAAACCGTTATGATCCTTCCAAAGTACTTAAGAATCCTTAAACACCATCACCAGACCTAGGACCTTCTAGAATATATACCCTTAAAATTTCAACCCAATATTTCCCTCTCTTTATTCTTTTATCAAAGCAAGATTCCCTTTCAAACCCTTTCGTTAGCCTGAAGCACCCACAACCTAAATCTCCTTGATCCTAATGCCGCTAAATCAATTAGACTATACAATTGAACCCTAGACACACCAAAAACATCTATCCATAAATTTTCAACCTAAAATTCCCCCATTTGCCCCATCATCGAACAAATATTCCATATTGGATTCTCTCACTGACCCAAATTTTCATGATTTTGGCCCTCCAAAATCAATCAAATGTTTCCATAAGATCATAGACACCCTAAAAACTCTACCCACAAAAGTTCAGCCCAAAATACCTTTGTTTGCCTTCAATTACACCAAGATTCCGTTTCAAAGCTTCGTATTGACTGGATCAAGTCCTTTTCGAATCTGCCCGATCTTGACATAATTAAGCCAATCTAACCCTACCGGTTAACCCATAATGCTCAAAAACACCACCCTTCCAAATTTCAACAAAAAAATTCCCTCATTTTTCCCTCCATCACACCAAGATTCTGTTTCAAAGTTAGTAAATTAATCGAATCACTATCCCTCTAGATCTGCCTAGTCCGAGATTATTTAGGCCAATCTAACCCCACCAATCGATTCAAAATGCCTAAAAACCCCACCCTATAAAATTTTAGTAAAAAATGCCCTTGTTTGCCCTCCGCCTGTACATGCAAAATCACTATATATACTCAAATCTATCTCTACCCTTCATTTTTTAACCCAAAATACCTACCATTAGATTAGAATTTTGTTTTCACCTCCTTAGACCCGAATTGACTAAAATACCCCCAAGCTTACCAAAATTACCAAAATACCTCCTATTATAAGCCCCATTTTTAACCTGAAACTGCACCGACCTTATTCTGTCCCTTATTGTTGTTTGTCCTCAGCATCTTGCCCTTGTTCGTATTACAAGCATTTCTTATTTTCTTCTTCAATGTTTATTGGTATGCAGGGAAAAGGATAATAAAATAAACATGTATTAGTACAAAAATCCTTATTATCATACACAATTAATTTCTTTAAAAAAAGAAAGAACAAATCTCATGAACATAAACGACTGATTTACTCCTCGCATTTAAATGTGCCTGCCGGCTGCAGCTTCAAATGTGGAGATTAAGCTTAGGACTCAAACTGACACTCAAAATGTTAAGATATTCAATATTTCATTCCGACTCAAGAAGCTCCTCTAATAATTTGTCGTCCAAGTACTCAAACTCGATAACCACCTTCTCTGTTCTCGTGGAGGATGAACTTCCCTTCTCAGCATTCTCAGTATTCTCAGTAGGAGCTGATGAGCTTTGCAGTCGATGTTCGTTTGGGAAGTTGAGAATAGCCAAATGACCCCTCAATGCAAAGGCAGCTCTGTCATATGCACGTGCAGCATCCTCTGCATTCTCGAACGTTCCCAGCCACAAACGAGCACAAGGCCTAGAGGGGTCCCGTATCTCTGCTGCATATTTCCCCCACGGCCGCCGACGAACTCCACGGTATCGAACATCCCGCCCCCTTTCCATCTGTTGTTTCCTCTCTCTTCTGTCTCCGTGTATGTCTTTCCCTTTTATATATAGTCTTCGTCCGTCTGGCTTTTACGTTAACGCAGAGCGTTTAGAACCTCTTAGCCTTTCCTCTTTGTTTTCAAATTTGGTGGGAAAAATTAAATATCTGGTACGTTGGTGGGAGGAAGAAAAGAACTGCCAGAGATGGTCGGTTTTCTTCATGGGTCTTCTCTCACGGTTGGAATTTGCAAGAACGTGTGGGTTTTAATAAAAAGTTGTTGCTGTCAAGTTTGATTTTGTATTAGAAATTTGTTTGGTTTGGTCAAAGATTTAAGTAGCATTCGGAAGCCAATACCGTTTTCAAAGTTCAAACCCGCTTTCAACACCAAACCGAGCTCCCCCCTTTTTATTTGCTTAATTTTCTTTTTCTTGTTTAATAAACTAGTACGTACAATTCTGTATTGATTCCTCCGCTTTCTGTTTCTGATGCACAGAGGGTTCTCGCTAGTGCCACAAACACCAGGCGTCTGCATGCCTAGGCAAGAGTCCGCTGTTGGGCCGAACAATTTAAGATGAAAACGGAAACAAATAAGTCATCAAAAACTTTCTGGCTCAATTTTGGAGAGAAACAAGAGATAACTTATTAACTTATACCTTTGTTAACAAATGTAAACTTATTCATATTTGCAAACACAATATTTATATCGTTTTATTATTCCCACAATCGTGAAGTCAGAGAGTTACCACCGATCACCGGCAACGAGCCATAGAATTATCTGAGCTCTGGCTCAATATTGGTTCTTTTACCCCTTCATTTCCTACTCAAGGTCTTGATTTGTGGTGGTGTTGTCCAAGTCTCGAAATTATACAAACTTTTAGCTCATCAATCCTATTATTACTCCAATTCTCTTGATTTGTGGGTCGGCCCAGCACAGCCCACGGCTTGAGTGCGCATGGGCCTATGTCATGCCATGGGCTGGGCTGGTCTATTGGCCGAGCCTTAAGCCTAGCCGGGTAGAGGTATAAAGCGGGTTGTGCTGGGCCAACACGGCATGACCTGTGTGCAGCCTGCACAAAGTGCAGGCTAGGCCGTGTCAACCCATGGGCCATCTTGGCCTGTGCCTCCCTCTACTGGGATATCTTGGGGCGTTAGCCCGGTACGGCCCATGGCACGAGCATTGGGCTAGGTTAGGCCATGGACAGGGTCAAAGTTATTTATTTAAAAAAAATTGAGAAAAACTTAAAATTTTAATTTTTTATGAATTTTGATGTATATAGTTGCTTATATATACAATAATTAAATAAAATTGAAACAATTATTTATTTTATTAATATATTATATACTATATATTATTATATAATTATAATTTATATAATATATTATATATAAATATATAAAATATATAAATATTATATATAAAAAAATATATATGGGTCGTGTAGGAATGCAGGCCACGAGCGGCACAACACGACAGTATGGGCTGTGCTGGCCCAACCTGCTGACCTGAAACCCCAAGACCAACACAACTCATCGGCCCATACAACTGTGTTGGGCCACAAGTGTCATGACCCAATTTACACCTCTACGGTTGGGCCGTGGACCGGGCCAAAGCTATTTATTTAAAAAAATTGAAAAAAAAAATCTTAAAATTTTTATTTTATATAAATTTTGACATATACAATAATTAAATAAAACACTATAAAAAATTGAAAACAATTGTTTATTTTATCAATATATTATATACTATATATTATTATATAATTATAATTTATATAATATATTATATATAAATATATAAACATATAAATATATAAGTACATAAATATGGGTTGTGCCAACCCGGCCCGCGAACCTGAAACTCCAAGCTCAACATGACCCATACAATCGGGTTGTGCCACGGCCCATCCCGATTTACACCTGTAAGTGCCATATATATAATTAGATTTTGGATCAAATTTGGATCTAAGTTTTTAACAAACAAATGAGATTTGAATGTAGCTAGATCCATTCCTAATCCAAATCCCATTGTAAATATACACAACTTACTCAATATCACATATTGGTCATAGTAAAATTTCAGATAGAATTAGGTATATCAGATGTATAACCATAGTAAATACGTTATATGTATATGCATTTAGAACGAAGAAGATTCAACAAATATATAATCTATTAATATATAATAAAATAGAATGATGTCATGTCATGGTCTGAGCTTTCTCCATTACCCCAACCGAGAACTCTCAATATATCTCATTTTAATCTTCCTTGCACCATTGCACCTTCATGAAGCCACCACATAACTCCCTTCTCCCTCTCTCATAATGACACCAAATCATGTCTGGACCACCCCACTTTCCTCTATGTTTATTCCTTTGGATATCCCTACATAAAATTATTCCTGAAATCTCTCTCTACCAAAATCTAATCTAATCTAGTTAAGTGGCACCACTATCCACCACTTTCTCTTAAATAATCTACAATTCCTATTTATCTCCTAAATTATCTCTAATTTCGATTTATCCTCTCCCCCAATTTTTCAACTATATCTATCAAAAGAAAGTCTGAATTAAAAAATTTAAGAATTATTTAAATATTATAATAAAATTATGTAATACCTTTAAAATATTTATTAAAAACACAAAAAAAATCATAGATTTAATAATATTCATATTATTAATAATTTTATACTTTTATGAAATTCATAACGAAATTGTGTACTAACAATATAAATTACAATTTTATGAATGATTCAATTTAAATATTATTCAAATAATAAAAAATTAAAATTAAAAAATATTATTTAAAAAATTTAATAACTAAATATTATAAATAACAAGATATTAAAAATATTATATAGCAAAATATTTAAAATTAYGTAATAACTTTAAAATAAATAAAATTTAAATAATGAAAATATTTAAATAACGAAATTTGGTAATAAATTTTAAATAGTTAAAATAACTAAATAACGATATTTTAAATAGTTAAAATAATGAAATTATGTAATAAATTTAAAAATTTTATTAAAAGCAGAAAATTGTTATTATATATTTAATAATATTTGAATTAATAATAATTTTATATTTTACAAAATTATGTAGTAATAGTATAACTTATAATTTTATGGATTATGAAATTCAATAAATAAGTTATATTGAAATAAATAAATAGTGATATTATTTAAATAGATGAATAATATTGTAAATATCTAATTTTAAATATTTTAGATATTAAAAATTAAATAACTAAATAATATTTTTAATATTATTTAAAAACAAATAAATAGATTAAATAAAGAATTATGTAATAACCTTAAAATTTTTATCAAAAAGACAAAAAAAATATAATAGATTTAATTGTGAAGAAACTCCCTAATGTACTATATTACTATAGTTCTTATTGTGTTGTATCTCTTATTTTATTATTTTCTCTTTAGCCCTGCAAGGGCTTCTCGATAAATTCTCTAATATTTGTTGCCCTACAAGGGTCTCTTTGTAAATTCTTTAATTTCATTATCTATATAAAGGACCCTTGGGGTAGGGTCGTATCATCCACTTTCTTCACCCTAGAATTCCGTATTCTTGTATGTGTTTGTTGACATGGTATCAGAGCAGGTTGCTCTGTAATTCCTATTCTTTCTTTGCTTTCTCATTGGCCATATCAGGGGTACTGTTTTTTGGGTGTTTCGACTAGTGTTAGGGCTATTTTCTTCAACTCTAATTCTAGTTCTCTGTGGAGGTTACTTTGTCTGGTGTTAGGGCTGTGCCCAGATCTATTTTTCCTTACTCAGAATTCTGTGGGATCTGAAAAGTCTTGAAGGAGTTCTGACCTTCTCTCTTGGGCGGCATCAACCTTCTTTCTCCTACTATGAACTGGATCCTCCAAGGCGGCAGCAGCCWAGCTTCTTATGGTTCAGTTTTTAACAGTAGCAAACTAAGAAACCTTAATAGTTTGGCTTTTTTCTCCTTTAACAACAGCAGTTTTGAACTTTTTTTTTCTGGTTTCTTATGCTTTAGATTGAGGAACTTCAACAGGCATAAGGTTCTCTCTTCAAGCTGATTTGGAAAACTTCATTTCAGGTTGGTGTATCTCATTATTGTCTTAATCGACTATTATCACTCATTGGAACCCTAGTTTTGTGCTGCCCTAGGGTATTTTCTTCTCTTGGTTATCAGTCCTTGGAACCCTAATTTGTGTTGCCCAAATTTTGTGATGCCCTTGGTTATTTATTGGAGGATTTTGATTCCTCTATAAAGTTTCTTTCTGAAGTTGCTCTGGATTGGTGTTGTCTACATTTCATGCTTCAGCCCTGATATTAATTTTTTTTTTGAGAAATAATGTGTTCAGTTGAAGTAATTCACTACCTTGTTCATTACAAACATCAGTTCTACTATCCTTTTTCTTGGGTTGATTTTTCTCATTTATGATGGCTGAAAAGATTGCTTTCTCCCTGTAAATTTTGATGGAACTAACTACAATATGTGGAAGTTCCATTTCGATTTCTATGTTGAGGGAAAGGTAAGGTAGAAAACGGATCAGATTGGATTTGGTAAGGGCATATCCAATCCGATCCGTTAAGAAAATCCGACTGATTTGAATCCAATAAGGATCCGTCGGATTTTCAAAAGCATGATTCAAATTCGAATTTGAATGCATTATCGGATATCCAATCGAATCCGATTCAATTACAATTATATTTATATTATGTAATATAAATAATATATTATATTATTTATATAATATAATAATATATTAAAAATATACAATATAATAATATATTAAAATATATAATATATAATATGTAATTATATAACTAATATATAGAATATACATATATAATATTTTATAATTAAGGGATCGGGTCACAGCGATCGAATTAGCCAATATCCAAATTCAATCCATTAATGGATCAACTTTTCGATTCGATACAATTTGTTAGGATCAAGAAGGATACCTGAATCTACTTCTTAATGAATTGGTATCAGATTTGAATTGGATATGATCCAACTTATTTGCAGCCCTAGGGAAAGGGACTTAAAGGTTACTTGAATGGTATTGTTTGTAAACTTGATGGTGTTGATAGTACAACCTATACACAATGGAAGATTGACAACGGAAAGTTAGTTTCCTGGATTTTGAGCTCGTGCCTCACATTAGTGTTCCCATGAGAAGATTGAGGACTATGTATGCGATGTATTCCTATTTGAAAAAGGTTTATCATCAGTCCAATATGTCATGATAATACCAGATTAAATCTGAAATCTTTGCCTATTGCCAGGGTGACAAGAAGATACAAGAATACTATGCTGGCTTTATTGATCTCTGGGTTGAATATGAACTAGTTCATACTGAACCTTTTGATCCCGTTGAGTGTGTCAAGTATTTGCAAAAGCATTTTGAAAATAGAAAAGTGAACCAATTTCTCATGAGGCTGAGCCCTAAGTATGAAATAATCAAGTCAAATATTTTGAGCAAAGGAACTTTTCTAGACTTAAACTTTGTGATGGGAGAGTTGTTGAGGGAAGAAACTAGATTCATAACTGTTGTAAACATAGAAGGGAAACATCTTGATTTTGGGACTGATACTATTTTTCTTGCACGAGGGAATAAGAAATCTAGTGGAAAAGACTATTCTAAAACTCAATGCTATGAATGTAAGGGATATGGACATATAGCTTCTCATTGCAAAAAGAGTAATGTTTGCACCTATTACAAACAACATGGACATATCATTCTAGGCTGCCCAATTTGTTCACCCAAGGGTCCCATGAAAATGAATCAGACATGGGCTTATCAGGCATCTAAGGGGCAAGTGTTCGATACTCTATTGCTAAAGGAAAATCCTATGCTTCCATGAATAAGGAAGAAATACAAAAACTGGTATCCTCTATTATCTCATCTGCCTTTTCTATTATTGTCCTATCTAGTGAGTTCTCTAGTTATTGCTCTTCTCCCTCTTATGTTTTGATAATTGATTCTAGTGCTACAAATCATATGACTTAGGCTTATTCTGAACCCTCAAATAGACTATTTAAGACCAACCATAGACATATTGACATTGCTAATGGTGAGAAACTTGACATCATTGGGAGTGATAATTTGTGCATCAAACTTTCCCCCTCAAATTCCTTGTCCCTTGCTAAAACTTTCATTGATCCTAAACTTACTGCTAATCTTATTTTAGTTGGTCAATTAGTTGATGAATGTCACATTCTAAACTTTTCCTCTGATGATTGTTTGATTTAGGACCAATGCACTAAGAAGGTGAAAGGAAAGGGGCGTAGGAAGGGCCACTTGTTTGCATTAGTGTTTGAAAAATCACAATCAGCATCGTCCTCTGCTTATTTGAGCTCTTCTACAGTAAGTCCTTTTTTGAGTTAGAGAAAATATGTCTGGGATATATGGCACAAACATTTGGGTCACCCAAATTCTGAAAAACTTAAATATTTATTTGAATATGGTTTTATTAAAACTAAAGTTCCTTTTATGAAATCTTTTAATATATCTTGTGTTTCTTATTATTTAAGAGGCATATTTTACCATTCACTCACTGAGCTGAACATGCTACTTCACCTTTTGATATTATTCATAGTGATGTTTGGATTTCATCTGTTGTTTCTCAAATGGGATACAAGTATTTTGTGTTATTCATTGATGACTGTACTAGGTACACTTGGGATCTACTTTCTCAAATACAAATAAGAAGTTTTTTCATCCTTTTGATTGTTTTATAACATGGTTTGAGTTCGATTTCAAGCGAATGTATAGACCTTATGCTTAGACTTTGCGGAAGAATACATTGATGGAAAATTTCTGGTTTATCTGAAACATCATGGCATACAAGTTCAATGATGTTGTCCAGACACTCCTCAGTAAAATGGTGTGGCAAAAATAAAGAACGACTACATTCTTAGTGTTATAAGGATTCTTCTACAAGAGTTACATGCAACTCCCACATTCTTTGTAGAGGTTGCTAGCATGACAGTGTATCTGATCAATTGTATCACATCTTTTGTTCTTATTAACATATCTCCTCATTAGAAGGTGTTTGAATCCCCCTACATCTTTTCCAACTTCATGTCTTTGGGTGTCTATGCTTTGTTCATCTTCCTCATCATCAGCGTTCAAAACTTTTAGCTCAATCTGTCATGTGTGCTTTTATGGGATATTGCCCTAATCACAAAGGATTCCTTTGTTATGATCCCTCAACACATCGTATTCATATTTCCCAAAATGTGAATGTTTGTTAGCATATCTCCTTTTTTTTTCAGGAATTGCCAAATTATATGCACCCTTTATTTTAGTTTTGCATGATTTTGAAACATAGGATACTCCATTGTTCACTAATGAGAAGGATATTCTCGTCTTCTCTCACAAGCGGGTTCATGGTCTAGCTCCTATGCTGACGACCCCTCTTCCTCTTGGTTTGGATCCTTGGCCCATTACAGACAATCCTATAAGTAAAGCTCTTGTTTCAGATTCCTCAATTATTCCTCTTATACCTTTGTGTCATTCTACTAATATCTCTCGACCACTTGACCATGATGATTTTCCTTCAAACCAAAGATCCTTCTCTGTTGTTTTGTCCTCTACAGATATTCCCCATTCTTACTAGCAGACTAGTAGTAGCCCTTAGTGGCGAGATTCCATGGATGCAGAGATTCAATCTTTGCATGAGAATGACACCTAGGACCTTACCCCAACACTTTCAGATGGCTCTATTATTGGGAGGAAATGTGTCTTCCATCAAGTTGAAATCTAATGGGTCTCTAGACCGTTACAAAGCCAGGCTTATGGCATAAGGATATGTGCAGGAGTATGGCATTGACTATGAGGAGACATTTGCTTTAGTGACCAAGATTACTACAATCCGTGTTCTTTTTGCCCTTCTTGCTGCACACTCTTGGACTATCTTTCAATTGGATGTAAAAAATATTTTTTTTACATGGGCATCTAAAGGAAACAATATATATGAAACCTCCTTCCAGGTACTGCAACGATCCCTTCCTCGTCTCTCAGCTAAATAAATCCCTCTACGTGCTAAAGCAAGCCCTTCGATCTTGGTTTGAAAAATTCAAAGGTGTTATCATGCAAGCCAAGTATAGCCAAAGTGCGTCAGACTACTCTCTCTTTGTTTGGAAAAGACCCCAGGGCCTTACCATTCTCTTACTATATGTGGATGACATATTGTTGATTGGAGATGATATAGAAGGAATTCAGAACCTCAAGTTTCTTCTCCGTAGTTGCTTTCACATGAAAGATCTCGGCCCTCTTAGCCATTTCTTAGGACTTGAAGTTCAATGGAACTCTTGGGGTTATTTTGTTTTCCAACAAAAGTATACCTCTGATCTTGTTAAGTTGGCCAACCTTATTGATGATAAACGAGTTGATACTCCCTTGGAGTTGAATGTCAAATTATCCAAATCAGAAGGCTCCCTACTCCATGATGCTTCCCTCTATCGGAAGCTTGTAGGGTTTCCCATCTATCTCACCATGACTCGTCCTGACATCTCACATGCAGTTCAAGTTGTTAGTTAGTTTTTCTCTACCCTTCGTCAACCTCATTTGACTGTGGTGCATCGAATAATGAGCTGTGTTCGGGGCTCTTTATCACAGGGTCTTTTCTTCTCTTCATCTTCTTCTATCCAACTAAGGGTCTATGCTGATGTAGATTGGGCTGGATGCCCTGACATATGCCGCTCCAATACTGGGTATTGTGTCTTCATGGGTGACTCTCTAATATCATGGAAATGCAATAAACAACAGACTGCTTCCAAGTCCTCTGCAGAAGCAGAGTATAGGGCAATGCCATCTATTTGTAGTGAAGTTGTTTTGCTTATATCTTTATTTTAGGAGTTGGGTCATTGCTCTGTATGCGGACAACACTAGTGCTATTAAGATCGCCTCAAATCCTATCTTTCATGAAAGGACAAAGCATATTGAAGTGCACTGCCATTTTATTCATGACCTGTTTCTTCCAAACTCTACCTCTCTCCCTCATGTTGCCTCTGATATTCAAGTTGCTGACATCTTCATAAAGGCCATGATGAGTCTAGACAGTTATTTTTAGTAAGCAAACTGATGGCAATGCCTCTATATTAGTTTGAAGGGGTGTGTAAAGAAACTCCTTGTTGTACTATGGGTTGATTGGTGGTGTTAGATTGGCCCAATTATGAAGAGATCAGGAAGATTTGGAAAGGATTTGGTCCAATTAATACAAAGCTTTAAAATAGAATCTTGGTGTAATGGAGGGAAAAACAAAGGTATTTTGGGTTGAATTTTTGTGGGTAAGGTTTTTAGGGTGTCTAGGATCTTTTGGAAATATCTGATTGATTTTAGAGGGCCAAAATCATGGACATTTGGGTCAACGAGATCATCCGAAATGGAATATTTGTTCTATGATGGGGCAAATGGGGTGATTTTAGGTTCAAAATTTATGGGTAGATGTTTTTGGTGTTTATAGGGTTCAATTGTATGGTCTAATTGATTAAGAGGTGTTAGGATCAAGGAGATTTGGGTTGTGGGTGTTTCAGGCTAACGAGAGGGATTTAAAAGGGAATACTGGTTTGATAAAAGAATAAACGGAGGGGAATCTTAGGTTGAAATTTCAAGGGTGGATATTTTAGGAGGTCCTAGGTTTGGTGATGGTGTTTGGGGATTTTTAGGTACTTCGAAAGGATTGAAACAGTCTGATTGGGTGTTCAGGGTAAATTAGGGTTTCGACGGTGAATTGAACAAAAATAAGGTACTAACAATGGGGTATCTAGAGGTATTAGTCTCTTGGATCATTTGGTGGGGTTTAATTAGTCCACTAATGGTATGGTCAAGGGCATTTAAGAAATGAATATCTTGACCAGAAAGATAGCCCAAATTAAAATCTTAGTGTAATGAAGGGTTAAATGGGGGATATCTATGATGAAATTTTGTGGTAAGGTGTTTATAAGTATTTAGGGCTCTTTAAAAGCCCATTAGTTCTAATTTGCAATTCAGTTAAAAAATCCCGTGCATTGCAAAGGTTCTAACTTTCTAACTAGTGTATATATATATATATATATATATATATATATATATATTAAAGTAGGGCTTGCCAAGTTAGTAGTCCTCTACTCAACAATTCTAGAGGGGGTGCAAGATTCCCTCTAGAAACACTAGGAGTTGCCACCTAACATGGCTTATCTCCTTTTTTCCTCTCCTATTTTTTAGGAAACTAACTATCCCCAACTTTCTCCTCAATTATCTCTCTCTCTCCCTAATTTCTATTAATCTCCTAAATTATCTCTAATTCTTATTTATCCTCTCCCCCACTTTTTAGCTATATCTATCTAAAGAAAGTTTCAATTAAAACATTTTAACAATTATTTATATATTATAATGAAATTATGTTAGTAACTATAAAATACTTATTAAAAACATAAGAAATAATTATAATAGGTTTAATAATATTCATATTATTAATAATTTTATATTTTTATTAAATTCATAATGAAAATATGTAATAAAAACATAAATTATAATTTTATGTTTATTCAAATTTTAATACTTAAAAAAATAAATAAAAAGTACTTAAAATCTAAATAATTATGTAAAAATTACATAATAATTTTAAAGAAATAAAATTTAAATAACAAAAAAGATTAAATATTTAAATAATGAATTGTTTAACATAACTAAATTTTAAATAGTTAAAATAACGAAATTATTTAATAAATTTTTAAAAATTTTCTTAAGAGTAGAATAATAATTATGATAGATTTCATAACTCTTTAGTTAATAATAATTTTATATTTTACAAAATTAATAACAAAATTATGTAATAATAGTATAAATTATAATTTCATGGAATATTAAATTTAATAAAAATTAATATTGATGGAGGATGATTTGGCCCGACCTCGTAACATGGGAACACGTAGGTGTGACCTTGCTCAAACGATGACTCAACGCGACAGCACAACAGGTGCAACCGCAACTCGGAGGGAAGATCCCACCGAGTTCAGCCCGACAACTCGACAGAATAGACCACTCGTCGGGAGCCGCCTGGCCTGCACTGCCACCCCGGGGGCTAAGGCACCCCGAGCCACCTCAGAGCACGGGGCCCCCTGACCTTTCCTAATACCTGAGCTCCTCCTAGTGGATCTCGGACCACTCCCAGATAGGAACACACCGATCCGCCTATAGATACCTCGAGGTAAAGACACCTCGGGCCAGACAGCTCGGCTTAGCCTGCCACAGGAAGCTCGACGCTTACGAGATAGCCCGGCACAGGGTAACTCATGGAAGGGTAGCTCAGCGTATCGTAGGAAGATCTCCTGCCCGACCATCGTACCCGACAAATCTGAGGATAGCAGCTATATCCCTCGTCAGACAGCGTCGTGCTTGCCACCTTTAGAGGGTGCCTTACACCTGACAGGCACGTACCCTGCGGTGACGGCCCCACGCGTGCCACCTCAGCCTAGCCAGTAACGGCTAAGGCAGACTGACAGTGGCAGTTATACCTACCTTGTCAGAGGCCGGTGGACCTGATACAACATATTTCTGTTATAAGGAGCTAATATCAAGGGACGGAGGTATCATCTTCTACTCTTGCGCTATCTGCACTCTTAGCTTTCATCTTCTCCTTACTTCTCCTACTGAATACTAACTTAAGCATCGGAGCGTTCCCGCCGAGCAAGCCCCCGGGGATTCTTCTTCTCCATCTCAAGTACCTTTCGGGAGCCACGTAAGTGTTAGCTAGGAGTGACCGGATTGCGCACCATCATTTGACGTCGTCTGTGGGAAATCGCTTCTAATAGCCTTCCTCTAAACTTTCACAGTTCTTTCTTCTCTGAAAACTCGACACTCATGGCTTCCTAAAGCAACATTGGACGAAGCATGGAGATGGGTAACTCCAAGGAGCAGCCCCAGGTTCCCACGGTCTGCATTGGGCAGTTCACCATTCCTCTCTTAGTGGACAGAGTTCCCAGCTTGCACATGTCGCGAGCAATGGCGCCTGTGGGTGTTCCCCTGCCTTTCTCGGTCGAAACGACCTTTGCTGAACCAACTGTCGTTCCTCTAGCGACCAGCCAGAGCCAGCTCGACGATCTGATGCAGTGCATGTGGGCCATGCAAGCCCAAGTGTAGCAGCTYCAGCAACACCAGATTTACCAGCAGCAAGTGCTGCACCACGTCTCTCAGTTCCACTATCAGCAACAATTCCCTCAACTGCCTCGACCTCAGCTTCAGCAGCCGCAACTCCCTCCTCGGCACCCAATCTCACCACGGGCAAGGTCTCGCCACCAGGAGGAGTACCTTTCTCGCCAAGGGGAGGACCCCCAGAACCCTCCTAAGAACCAGGCCTCCTCCCGCGGCAGACAAGAAAGACCGGCTACTCCGGTCTCACCACGGGCAGTCAGGTCGGGAGGACCTCAGCTCGCCAGGTCCACGCCGCCTCAACTCTCAAAGCCCGATACCCCGTTCCTAGAGAACCAGTTCGAGATCCTGGCTGCAGGATCCCTCTGTCCACAGCCATCACCAGCAGCCTGAGCTACTTCCTACACACACCATTCCTGACAGCACGGAAGTGAGCAGCACAAACGCCGAGCCCACC